TCCTGGGCCACAGTTCCCCAGGAAGAGTCAGGAGCTGAAGGTCAGGGCCACCACTAATCCACAGCCTTCAGCCACAACTCACCCTTACTTGGCTATGTTCCTCCTAAACAGGATAGCCTCTCTCCAGCTCTCACCGGCCTTAGTTCGAACCTCTCCACCCTCCCAAACCTGCCCAAGAGTCTCCACCTCTCATTCTCCAATCTTTACTTCCAACCTCAGGGAAAACATAGGAAGTTGAGAGAATTTTCTGTCTTATGGCTTCTGGCACCAAACCTGAGCAATCTCGTTTCTCTGTAGGCACCTTTATCTCTGTCCTGCCATCTCAACTGAAAAGAACTACTTCTTGTGGAAGGCAGACATACCCACAGCCTCCCTGATCCTCTGTGTCCCGTGCTCTGTCTCCCTCCCCTTCCCAAGCTGCTGTCTCTCTCTCCTCACCTCCCCTCTCTGCTCCCTGGCTTCTTAACCCTGGGCCCCTCGGAAACCATCCATCTAGGTCACCACATGGTCCTTTAAGCTAAACCCAGTGGAAATGTTCATCTCCTGGCTGCCTTTGCCACTTTGGTACCCTCTTCCACTGACACACCCTTCCTTTGGCTCCTACCACTGGACCCCTCTTGGTTTTCTCTTGTGCCAAGGCCACTTCTTCCCAGTCTACTTGCAGGTTATCCACCCAAAGCTCCTACCTCTTTCCCTCCAGACACACTCCCTGGGAGACTGTTGGAGCCACACGTGGGCCTCCCATACCTTTGATATGTGGCTACCTTCTATTCCACTGCCCATGAGTCAAATCCCAGGCAGTGTACCTCTCCGGAGTGTCCCACAGACACTTCCAGCTGTGCAGATCCCAGCCTGATTCAGCGTCTTCCCACCCGACCATGCTCCTCCTTCTGCATCTTCAATGTCCAATGAGGGCACCATCATCCACCCACCTGCCCAAAGCAGAAATTCTCAACAGCTGTACATTGAGTCGGGTGGCAAAGTTTGCAGGAGTCCAGTGGTGAGTGAACACACAGGGTCCTGCCTCAACAGGGGTAATAATATGCCTGGGGCAGGGAGGGGATGAAGCAAATCCCAGCATGGAGATGTAAAATTTGCAACTGTGAGTAACCCCCTTGGGGAAGCTTCCTAGCGTGAGAAAACCCAAGACAGGAGCCCCAGCATGGAGAGATAAAGAGGAGGTGTCCGTGAGGGCAAAGCGAACAGAGGTCGGAAGATGAAGAAGTAGAGAATCGCTCTCAGTTTCTGGCCTCCAGAAGTTGCAAAGATGAAGGGCAGACATGTGAGTGGGTTGGGGAAGGAGGCAGAATCTGCTAGGGCCACAGTGAGACCGACATGCCTGTGAGAACCCAGTGAAAGACATGGCAGTTAGATCTGCGAGCCTGGGCCGGGGATGCAAGCTTGGGAGTCGCCAGCATGTTCACAGAATTCGGGGCTACTGTCCAGGATGGGTGCAGAGGGAGAAGACCCACAAGCCTGATATGAAACAGTCCTGGAGTCCTCCCTCCTGACCCAGGCCAAGGGCCAGCCTAGCCCTCCCACTGGTCACCACTATAAAGCAGACAGGTTCAGAAGCCACTCGGGGCATCAGGAGAAGAACTGTCTTGTTGTCTGTCCCCTCCAGAAGAGTGCGGGGAAAGGCAGCTGAGCGTCCGGGCAGCAGCCAGCTGCTGTCTCTAAAGGGCACTACTTGACTTTGAGTGTTTCCTTCAAGGAGAATCTTCCTGGGAAAGGAGATGAGGAGTTTAAAGAAGGCAGGTGTGTGTACAGAAATCAAGGGAAAATTAACCATAAATCATGTCAATGCCTTATGGAAATACACAAGCCTTCCAACCATAACATAATTTGTAAAAGGTGGCAAGTTCTTAATATCCAGGCGACCTAGAATTGCCGTCTTATCAGCTTTACGTAAAGTCCTGAATAGGAGTGAGAAGGCTTCCCTAGTTGCCCACAGTGTTCCTGGCAGGACCTGAACCTGGTTCAGAGTGGGCAGGCTCTGCCCCCTCCCCTGTGCCCTGCTCTAGGGAATGCCACCTTGTCCTGCCCTGTGGCAGAACAAAGGTGTGTTAGGACTGGCTGTGATGTGCTATGCTGGAGATGCTGGTAAGGCCCAGAGATTACAGCGATGGGATGGAGAATGGAGGTCTGGGGCAGGTGAGAGAGTCAGGACCACCCTGCCCCAGCCTGATGTCACCCCTGGATAGGATGAAAAGCCCACACCCTCCTCCTCCTGCCTTTTTCCTTCATAAGTAAGCCCTGGTTAGCCAACTGCCCGAGCCAGAAGTAAGAACTCTGCCTTCCCTGCCTCTCTCCCCCTCCCTCTCACCACAGTCCATCCGTTGCCAGGTCTTCCTCCTTAACTTGTCTCAAACTGGCCTCTGAGTACCTTGTTCTAGCCTGATTCCTCTGACACATCCAAGACAGCTGAAAGAGCCTCTTAAATCTTTTTCTCTCAACTGTTCTCCACAATCCTGTCACCAAGCATGACATTTTCTTCTCCTGCCCAGGGTCTCTGCACAACCTATAGTATAAAATCTGCATTCCCAGCTCAGCACAGCAGACATGGTCCATTACCACCACTGTTCCTTGTTCCAACTCACCCCCAGGCCCATCTCAGTAGTGTCCACACCCTGTCATGTTCCAAAACACAGACTCTTCCCTCTTATGTCTTCTCATGACCTCACCCTTTGAACCAGCCTTCCTCCTCCATGGCACATCTTTCCTGACTCTCCATTCATCACCTGCCAAACTCCTACTCACTCTCCAAAACCCAGCTTGCTTTCACCGTCTCTGTCAAGGCTTCTTGTCTTCCTCCACAGTTCCTCACTTTGTGCACACCTGCCTGTTGATCTCTCCAGGGCCACAAAGGAGAGATGTACCCCAGCCTATTTATAAACATGTTGGTCCCCACAGCAGGTCATAAGCTCTCTGAGGCTGTCCCATCTTAATAGCTACAGTCTGGCCAAGTAC